TCCCCTCTCCGTTTAGGTTTCTCAAATAATCTCTTCTCTTGTGACTTTCCGGCTAAAATTTAAATGCATATATCATTCCCTTAAGCGTGCTGCATGTTCTATCCATACAACCGTCCTTAATTCTTTAAAGCAAACGCTCGTCTTAATAATATTTAAACATTTAGTCTATGCGTCAAACAAATCACAGCCTCAACAATTACATGGATAAATTTGTGAATTATGTTTTTGTGGGAAAAGGAAGAATTAATTACTGTTATATCAGCTGTTGAATATAGTCACAAATTGGCCTTCAAGGGTCAATTTAACTACTATAATAATATCAGTTATAGAGTTAATCTCGTCATTATGTAAACTTCGTGTGCAATAACCTTACAAATAAGAATACACCATCTGGGAACTGAAATGGAACTAAATTTCCAACCTACGTCACAAGAGGAAACGGAACCAGTGACAGGAACGGTAACACGCAAACACGGGGTCATTTTCAGACTTAAACATTTGACCTAAATAACGAGCAGGCCTATTTTACCTATTTTTGAAATCACTGCGCCATTCTGTCTCCTATATTATACTTGCGCATGTTGCAGAGAATATACACATACTGGGAGTAGAAAGCCACTAAATTATTCGTTTTGCACTTCTACTTTAGTCTGTCTGTGCGATGCTTTGCGTGTCTGTGCGCGATATTTCACGGGCGGAGGGAGGCAAAGCTCGAGACTATATGAGTGGGCCACGTCTCCCTCGTTCTTGGCCAATATATCATCGTCACATCAGGACACGGGGCCTCATTCCAAGTTAATCTCGGACATTCCTGCACGATCCTTCATTATACTAGTAGCAGCAGATCTGCCGTACTGCGGTATACGCAGAGGTCCCCTTCAAATCCCCTTTACCCACGTCCGTTTTCAAAACGTTAATGAATTCATATATGTTTATGTGTCAATAAACACGGGGGTAAACGTTGCTGTCTCACTCTGAGGTCGAATTTTGTCACCGAATTACTTGTGGCTGTCAGTTTCTCAGCTTAACAGTTTTCAAACATGTTCCTTGCAGTAAAATGTAATGATTCTACTACATTATTTCTCTTCACAGCATATCTTTCAGAGGACGAAACAATATGGATGCAGATCAGGACATCGATGACGATACGCACATCTGTCTCAAATGCCGGACAACCATTACTGGTACGTATCACCATATCAAGTGCTTGGTGAATTATGCTTGTACCTTCAACTAGCTGCAAGGCCTAGGGTCGTCTTTGAAAAGCTAATAATTATTCGCTTAGTCACTTCACTTAACTTCCGTCTCGTATCGATTTTAAGAACGCTCTTGAAACAAATCCATGTGTGGGTAAAGCAAATGGTTAGCTGTCGTACTTTAATATGTGTGTATCATGTCACAGGTTTGGACAACTACGTCAAACATCGGAAATCCGTTTGTGCCACCAGTAATTCCACCAGCCGTCCTCAGAATGCTCCTATCAAAGTTGACGTCGAATCTGTTCCAAAAGATTGTACCACGACTCCAGAACACATAGACAACAATCCCAACCTCAAAGCAGATGACTTCTTTTCTTCACTGGAACTCCAAAGTAGTGCTAAGAAAACTACAGTAAATTCCTCAGGAAATTCCGTCAAAATTGCCTGCGGTGTGGTAACAAGAAGCAGGGCTTCCGCAGCGATTCTGGCCAACACTTCGTCACGTGACGCCCAGTTCACAAGTCAACAGAAAAGTGACAGTGAACTTCTTGGGAATATGGCGACGGAACTATTTTCCGCACCAACTGACTTGGACACTGCAGCAAGCACGTGTCTCATGAAGACGGAAAGTCGCGATAATATCATGCAGTCAGCTGTGGACAGAAGCTATCTCGAAGACTCAGCTTGTGAGGAGGAATCTAATGAAGAATATGAAGATGAAGACGAGGACGAAGAAGACGATGGTTGTCCGCCGAGGTCACATACTGGAGGAAAATGGAAGCCTGGAGACTTGACGAGAGGATCCCCGCCGTCTTGGACAAGGACGTCGTCTTCTTCCACACACGCTGAAGAATATCGAGGGAGTAGTAGTACAGGAGGGTGGAGTCTACTCCTCGAAGAGTGCGCCGGAAGTTCTGCCGTCGCGGCAGACCCCCCGCCACATTTCACTGGAGGCAAATGGAAGCCCACTCTACCGAATCAGGCTGTCATTCGCACACAACAGGTAAGTCATTTGAGACTTCAGGTTCTCACAGCGGCGACCGTCTTCTGGATTTTGCATCCTGCAATCTGGCAGTTTTTTTTGTTTTTTTTCGTTTCAGAGCCACAAAGAGATAAATTACACTGAATTGTTTGCAGGGTTGCCGTGGACAAAATTCAGACGAAGAAGATGATGTGCTTCATGAAAACACTGGAGAAAGAAACTCTAATGCGACTGGAATGAATGATACCACAATATCTCGAGTACCTCCTCCAGGTCACACAAGTGGTAAGTGGGTACCGGGAAAGCAGGTCCGTCTGGATGACAGTGTAGAAGACGCTGGTATCACAGAGGGTGGCAGTATGGGCAATATGTTGTTGATTCCACCTCTCCGGAAGTCAGGCAGCACCATTCAGTATTGGTGTGGATCGTGCAACAGGCGACTGAGCTCTAGGACTCTCTACGAGAGGCATTTGTTATCAGAACTGCATTTCAAAAGAACTCTACAAGAGCGGGAGCTAGAAGAAGACCCGCTTAAGGCGCAGAGCGACTCGAATGACAGGGGAAGTGATAAGAGGACAGTGAGGCGAACCGAAGTATACCTCAACAGCGAACTTTGGTCCCGTAGCAAGAGACGAAGGCTGAACTCCGGGACAGTAAGTGCATCTTCGAGAACTTCTTTCTAAGTAAAGTCCTTTTATGCCTAACACGAGATGTCTCGCTAACAAGTTTTGTCGCATATGGTCTGAATATTTTTTGTTTGTTTAAGAAAATCAATGATAGAACCGTGCCCCGATATACCACATCACACTGAGCTGCGGAAATTCGATAGCGATATTAGAATATCATTAATAACATACCGTTCATTTATGTTTACTTCTTAATGCAAAGATTTATGTCATCGGAAATTTAAAAATAAATAATGAAATCCATGTTTCGCTACACGTGTGTTTACAGATTTCAGGTCCCGTAAGGAAACCGAAAAGACGCCGCGACGAGGTGCATTGCGAAGTCTGCAGCTCCAAAGTGTTAAGGCACTTGCTGGGAAAACACTTGGTGTCACATTACCACTGCCGGAAGGCGAGGTCAGGCCATCCACAAGCTGCAAGTCTTGTGCTGGACAATATCCACAGTGTGGTGCGCCAGGCACCCTTCCAATGCAGCCCTTGCAAGTTCTACTGCAACACCGAGGCTACCTTCAAGCAGCACTGGACCTCCCGGGAGCACGAGCGTACCGACACCATGGTAATTAATGACATTCTCAGTAAGATGTAATTCACATGTTATTTCTAGACAAAAGTGTCGCACAAAATATATTGCACGTGTTTATCAACCAAATCACAAGTAAGGAGTTCGTGTTATGATACAATGCCCCGTTACCGAGAAGTAATGATGTTCAGTTTTGTTTCCATTGTTTTCTTCTTGTTTCTTTCCTCTTTCCTTTCTTTTTCAGCAGTCCACTACTGTTGTCTGCGTATATTTTATTGACGATCAGGTTTAATTTCTTGCCGTACCCCACAGTAATGTTCCTTCCAAAAATAAATATAAATTCCAGGAAAAAGGGAACAGAATAAATTTATGTGAACAGAAAACAATATGCAATGAAATTGATTGTTTTCCGTTAAATTATCCACAATCCACTGTCAGTTTCCATCACATAATTCATGGAAGTAAAGAAGTTTTACTGTAAAGGCAGGTTTGCGTTAAGCTGATGTTTCATTTCAGACTGAATTTGCATATTTTTAGTATTTGGCTTTTAAGGAAAAGCAAGTTTTCCCAAATGAAATAGTCTCTTCATAGTTCATTCGAAGACAGATTACAATGTGCACGTATGTTCGCAGGTGAGCGGTCGTTACTGGTGTTCATTCTGCAAGTACGAATGTGAAAGCTCTGTAGATATGAAGTGCCATATTGAGGGTCCAGTGCACCAGGAACTTGTTGCCGTCATCAACCGATCAGTTCCCATAGTGATCCGCAAGCGGACAGTCCTTTCCTGTGGCAGTTGTGGCGAAGAGTTCCGATACAACGCGCAGCTAAGGAGGCATGTTTTGCGGGCAGGACACCACGACTCCAGCACCAGCTCTGACGTGTACCAGGAGCGTTTTTGCTGCTCCGACTGCCGCTTCGTGGGAAGCTCGAGTGCCTCTCTGCAGCGCCACATTCTTCACACGCACAAAGCGGAGAAGAAGGGCGCCTACTTCTGCAGTGCATGCTCCCTGAACTTTGATTCCGCGGAGGAAGCTGCTCTGCACCGTCGGAGTCAGCAGCACAAATACTCGGCCCTGGCAAGTAGAAGGGACAGGGGACTGAGTGAAGAAGTCCTCACGAAGAACTGCCCTCACTGTGGAGAGAAATTTGAAAACGTATTGCAATTAAAGACGCATCTTCGTGAGCAGCACGCCGAGTTCCCGTACAGGTACAGCTGTTCCGGCCCTCGAAAATGCAGCTTCATATGAAGGCTTTTTTTTCCTTAGAATCAAATGTACTCTCTTTTTTTTTATCGTGATCACTGCGATATTTTTGTTTCAAATCGTTCATCCTCTTTCCTTTTCCATTCTCTATGCCAGTATTTATCAATCTGAGACCCACGAACCCCTGGGTATCAGCATGTTTTGGTGTCCGCTAGTTGAGTAGATTCCACTCTTTTATTTATTTATTTATTTTTGTTTAGTTTGTTGTTATTGTTGTTAGTTTTAAGCTTCTTTCCACCATACCTTTTATTTCCACGCTGGAGTAAAAACATGACGAGAAAGCTATTGCTACGTCTTTCCATACTCTAGTCAGTGTGTATTGTCTTTAATCAAAATGTATGAGATAATTTGGGGGAAGGGCTCCGCGGTACCAGGAAGCTTCAGAAACATTGCGCTGGGCTTTAATGTCTGTTAAACATGCGTTAGTTATTTCTGTTATTTTTAGAACCCAGTTTCTCTTTAACCATCATCCGTTAACCAGAGACATTTCCACACTGTAGGTTACCTTATTATGGCTAAACACTCCGTTTTCCCACACTCAATTCCTTTATCTGTATCCACTAATTGTATATATTCCTTCATACTATCTGCTCGTCTTATCCTTGGTCAGGCCAGTGGCGGTTTGTTCACCATCTTCATTTTAAAAATGTCCAATGGAAGGCTGGCGTTCACTCATAATAAGTGCTCATACAGTGACGCTCTTAATTCAGCCAACAAACTCTCTCCTTTTAAGGAAAATACATGTTCTTTACTATGTCCACAAAAGAACGTCATTGGACTCTATCCTGAGCCGCTGATGTCTTCCAGGTGTGCGCGTTGTGGGATGACGTTCACATTGCCTCAGGAAGTGTCTCGTCACGTCAGAGAGTCAGCATGCGTCTTCAGGACCGACAAAATCAAATCGGACTCGCCGTCAGACGGAAAGCAGGTGCCGGAGAAGGTTCCAGTGCCGAGTACTTCTGCAGACAGCAACAAAAATGAGGAGGACGGCGAATGCAGATTTGTAACGTGCAGTCAGTGCTCCTACCGCACTGAGTCACAAGCTGAGCTCCTCTTCCACGAGGTCCTGCACGGAGAATCGATTACCGATTCGTCTAGTACAGAGACCGGTCTTGGAACTACCACCAGCCAGGCTCAGGTAATCTGTGATTCCTTTGCATATTTGCTTTCTACTTTAGCACTCTTTTATAATTGCTGTGATACGTAGATTTGACAACTGTATAAGACTGCGCAGGCGACTGAGATGAAACAGGGTGTTACTATAAACCTCGATGGAAAAACACTTCTGGTGACGTAGTTGTCTTCGTGTAAAGCATTCAACCGGGTTGTAGACACGACTGAAATTACTATCTACATCAGATAAAGTAATAAGCTAGAGTAACATATATATAAGCCTAAAGAGATTAATTATAAATCAGAAAATATCTATAAAAAGAAACGTCTAATATAAAATTTTCTCTTTGGTACCATCGGTTATTATGTATACGCCTACAAGCATTACATTAACTTATTTTATATATATATATACACATACAGAGTAATGTGTCAGTTATCAAAAAAGATGCTGTATAGCTCAGATAAAGTCATGTGTGTGTATATATATGAATAATAATTTAGTAACTTTTCAGATAACATACAGACGAAAGAGTACAGTATTTCTAATGCGTTGTATTTTACGTGGCCAAGTAGCCTTTCCCAGATCAGGTCAGTTTATCCGGTGATACGATATTATAATGCACACACAATGATGTAGTATGTATAGGTAATGCAGTGCGTATACATTTTCCAGATGTTCGGAATGATTTGGAATGCATCCTGCTATAGCTTATTCTCATTCCCACTGTTGCAGAAGGCGATGAGGTACCAATGTCCCTTGTGCACGCGAGTGTTCCGCAAGGCGACGCTACGATGCCACCTCAGAACCCACACACAAGAACGCCCGTTCGTGTGTACCTTTTGTTATCGTGGTTTCGGACACAGATCGTCCATGATCACACACGTGAAACAAACACATCGCACGGAGACGAGTATCGCGTGCGAGGAATGTTCCTTCAAGACGACAAACAAGACCTCGATGGACCGGCACAGGCTGAGACATACCCAGCGCAACAAATCCTTCTTGTGCGCTGTGTGCGGAGCGAATTTCTTCCTCAAGTAAGTACCCACTTGTGATTGCCTATACAGAGTGTCGCAAAAGTAACCCTGCGCGTTGTATACGCTGTCCGCTGATAAACCGGGTCACAGCTGTCACAGGGACATAATTTTCAGCACCTCTTAAAAAAAAGTTAAGTTGATTGTTTAGTTTTCTTGTAGCGATATTTCACTCTTATCGGGAAAATCTTGTAGCACTTGGCAGTGAGACGTACAGTTCCTGCTGCGAGCCGGGAAGTAACAGTTGCGTTCCCGTTTATCAGTGAACTCATAGAACCGCTGCTTTCTTCTTTTTTACTTCTTGGAGATATACAAGAACTAATAATTGACCACTACTGGAAGACTTGGCGAGAACAGCGATGGTCAAGAAATTGCAGTCGATCTTATCCTGAAGATGTCTGTCCTCTCGGATGCTGCACCGTGTTGTCCGGTTTTCGTTTTCCGACGTATCAGAGGTGCTTGATGCCTCTATCATTAGGGCCCTGATGATGGAAGTAGTAGGCACCTCTGAAACGTCGGCAAACTACCAGACTACACGGCGCAACGACTCAGAAAGTAACGATCTTTATACTCGCCGCCTCGAGAAGCTGAAATCTCTTCATTTCATAAAGTCGTGCCACGCTTAAGACTCGCAGGTCTAGAAACACTGACCTAAACAGTTAAGGGAACGTCGGTAAACAGCGCAGGACTCTGTAGATCTGTTCGTTCCGCAGCCAGTGGCCTTTACAGAGCGCAGCGCAAAGTGACGCAGTTGAGAGGTGTGATCGTGTTCTTACCCGCGGGCAAATCGTGATATGTCTGCGTTATTCTTTGCAGCTCAACACTTCAAAGTGCCACATGATATCTGATTAATGATACAATCATCCGTGAACGTATCCTTCATTTTAAGTTCGTCTGGCTTTTGGTTGGTGCACTGTTATCGTACTTCACATAACATAGTTCTCTAAGCCTCTTTTTTGTGAGTTTCCTTTCACATCAGACACCGTCTTTGTAAAAATGTTGCTGTTAACCGACTTACTAATTTTACGTACGATAACTCACAACCGCGAAGCCCTGACTTAAACTACTGAATGTATTATTTCCATTAAATTTCTTATAGGAGATCTACACCGAAATTTGTTGGGCGAATTTGAATACTATTCGTGTCGGTCTAATAAAGCTCCTTTTTTGCATTAATTTAAATAAATGTTTGGCCTATCTACATTCAGGAACGCTTCTGGAAACGAAAGGTGGTGTAAAATGTATCATACCTTATTAATATCAACAACGTTTCTTTAAATTATTTTTACATATCGATATTTAATGACGCAAGAAAAAATTTGTTAGTCTTTGTAGTTTATCAAAGTGCGACAATATGGCTGCATTGTGGTACATAGGCAATGTCTCTGCCATCGCAGCCCTTGGGGACAGTTCTTTTGAAATAAACAGTTTCTATTATGTTAATTTGCACAGCAACATTAAAAAGTGAAACGTCGCTAACGTATGAAAGTCTCGGCTTGATGAAGCTAGATAATGAATCATTTTAATACCCGCATATTAACGATGATTTAAAACATTTTATATTAAGACTAGTCTTAATGAAACCTGTAACTTTTAAACCATTCAGAACCATATAATTTACCGCAATAATTGTCTGTACTTTTAATACTATTTATTATAATTCACAACGTCTAATTTCTCGTGAGTGACCGTCATGTGTAGATCCTTAAGCACGTGACTGGAACTAAATACCGCGATTGCACACATGCCACAAGTTTGTATGAATGGTGAAAATATAGTATGTGTACTGAGTGTCTCTAGCAGAACGATAATGCGATAAGTGCAGTGCATGCTATCATTCATGTGGTCAACCAAATGTACACATATAAACTCCTCCGCGCGTCCGTGCTTATCAAGGTGGTATAATGTGTGAAAACTTCAGCATTCCACCCGTCATCCCCTACCATTGTCTCTGGACAAACTTTTTATTTGTTTCAACCAGCGTTCTCTTTCGCCCTTCTGCAATACATTTACTCCATTTTTCAACGTTTGCACCAAAATGCCGAACGTTGAAAAACACCATTGCAAACTGATCTTAAATGTTGGCTTTATATTTATATTCGTCTTTGATACGTAACTGGCTTCTCGTGTAAGTCTCTTATATTCAAAGAACTTTACAAAACCAGTCTCTTGCTGTGAGAGAAGAACACGTTGCAAGTGTTTCAAGGCAGTTTACTCGGAAATGCAAATGCAGTTCTCTTACAACTGACTCCGTCCCTTTGTCCCTGTCTGCGTTTCATCCTGTTTTCTAAACCTCATATTCATTGCCTCTTTCTGAACAGCTGCTATCACTCGTTCCATAGACTCCACTTAGCCTGTCCTTCCAAATCCCTTTCTCGGGGTCTCTTTTACTACTGATGCCACGTCTCTCTTCTTAGTGTCTATTTAGCCTGCCCTTTCTATTCTTAGGGTGTTTTTTTTTACTTCTAATACCGTGCCTCATTTCTTAGTCTCCAGAATGTACTAGAACAATAACTTCGCACTTTAATCTACGTTTACTCTGTAATTTAAAAAATACTACGAAAAATATCATTGACACATCCGTGTTCCTAATTGGAAGACAAACCTGATTATTATCTTCGCCGTGAGACAAGATGGGACTATTATAATAGATCTAATTCAAAGAAACTGTTTAAAGTGTAGCCACAAGGCATGTTAGCATGATGTTTTCACGGCGGCGAACATGAGGATGGTAAACATCTGGATATTTTGCCGTACAGCCTGGAGAAATTGACCGACGTTTCAGAGGAGCTTACTGCTTGTGATGACCCTGATGATAAACGTCAGTCAATATCTACAATACTATATGGACAAAAACATCATTTTCATATGAAATATTCTATCCATTTTCCTGATAATGGTAAACAAAACCATGAAAACCCGTTGTTAGTATAACCGGTAATTTGGTCGCTACAGCAACCTAGGGTACAGAGAAATCCAACATCCTCTTGGTTTTAAGATTTTTCAGTAATTGTGGCAATGTTCGCCCACATAATCTATTGACGTAACCTTCAATCATTTTATAATTTATGCATTCTGAAGGACTTGCCGAGAAACTGCAATGATTGGCCATCCTACCAATATTATCTAAGTGTTGTAAATTACACAGTCCCTCATTACGTAACATGTTTAATTCCTCATCGCTTCATCGGAGCTGTCGCTCACTTATGCAGTTAAGACGTGACACAAATAGCAATATAAGACCAACCCTTCTAGTGTTATTTCCTCGGTTCTTTTCGACAATTCGGAAGGCAACAGCCATTACCTGTCGCCACTTCTTCGCGTAGTAATTTAAGCCGCCGTCGTTAACAAAAATGCCTTCCATTGCAAAACGTAGCATTCATTAGTGAGAGGGACAGAGATAGGAAATGAATTACAAATAAAAAACCATGATCGTTCATAACAAGCTTGCGCTTTGTATATATTACGACTGGAACGAGCAGCAAACCGCTAAAACCGTGTTAGGTCGCGTGCAATATGCCGGGTGGTACAGTAGTAAATCCAAGGCTCGTCATCATGGGAAATGAGGATCTCTGGTTAGCCAAAGAATGGCAACGACCAACTCTCTCGCCTACGTCAACAACAGTGGAGTTAACAGCAGCCACGATCCCACCATTGCAGCCATTTTGTATGAGTGTGAGAGAGGCGACGTAAAATATATGGCGTTTCATATAATAAAACAAGGTTGCTGCGGTTTAAGGACGCTGGTGACATTCAGCATTACGTACCAGCGGTGTCTGGCTGCATAACGAACGCTAGAGCACAGCAAACAGTCGAGGGTTCTCTTATATAATGCCTTCCTCCAAAGGCTGTAGTGCCAGCGTTTAATCGAAAAACAAACGCTTTCGGTACTGAACCTCTGTATTTTCACTAGATAAAACGAGTTGATGTGAAGTTTCGTTAAAAGAAAGGTCGTAAAACCAAAACATACTGAACACTGCAGTCGTAAAATGCCGAATTATGCATCATTATAAGGAAATTTGAGCATTAATACATCATAACTTTATGTTTGGGAAAGTATTTATAGAATAATTTCATTAGGCGAGGGTTAATAATAATTTATGAGGCGAATTATTTCTTGTCTAGAGACTTTAAGACATAAAGAATTAACTATACAGATTAAGGTGTGAACTTCATTTTCCCTTCCGCACATGATTTTCAAAATATTTGAACCAGGACGAGCATAGTCATACCATATGACGCTGATAACCCGACGCCTATCACCGCGACTCTCATCATCCCTTACCTAACCAAAGCTAAAACTTACCTCACCTCTTCTAACCTAACCTGAACGAACCTAATATAACCTCGCCTCTACCCAAATCTAATCAACCTTTGACCTAACGCAACTTACCCTCCGCCATGACTTACGATTATTGCAACCGGACACCGGTCGTCGCGACGACCATCGTTCGCACGTCGATACAAATTTAATATAGAATAAGAAATAGATTCCTCTAAGCTTGCATATTACGAAATAACGTGTTAATAATTTCATGATGAGTAAATTTTTAATTACTTTTATTTCAAGGGGTTTGTTGTTTGTCACATTTTCAAAGGATTTATGCTATGTCATCGGCCTGTTTTGTTGGCGGGGCATATGTAGTCTACATAAATATATATGTTTTACACACTTAGCATTAGACATAAACGTAATGATTAAGATACGCTAGTCTACATTTTATCTGTTCTCTTTTATGGATGTAGAATTTCGTTTTATACATTAATTCTGATTGAGGGAGTCTGAAAGTAAGTTGCAGTGGAGAATATTTGGACCTAAAGGCTGCAGGAGATTCAATAATGAGAGGGTTCTTAATTTATATTTTTCATCAAATATTATTAGCGTGATTAGTTCAAGGAGAGTGTGATGGGCAGAACATGTAGCACATTTTGGATTCCAGTATCCATCATCTTCTTCAGTTTAGCAACTTTTCAGTGAAACATTCTATCGTGACTTTTTCAAC